CTTTGTTTCTGATATTCTGCACTTTGGGTTATTGTTAATAAAAGGAGGAGGTTATTCATCAGTTTATATTGTGTGCTTGGTGTAGTCTGTGTTTGTTTGTGAAGGTTTCTTGAGAAGAAACCTATCACATGAAAGTAAGTCAATACATTCCATAACCAAATAATTTCAATGGAAACAGAGCTAGGGTTCTATAAGCTTCTGCAGAGGATCTGCTGACAGTCTTTTGATGTTTTGCTTTCCAGGAGATCAAGAAACTCCCTAAGAACACACAAAAATGTTGAAATGTAAATTGAATTTGTGTTTTGGGCCTAAAAGATAAAAACCCAATATTAGAAAAAAAGACCCAAATAACATTCTAAAAAATCCTATCTAGAAGGATTCTAGAATGATCTACAAAAATATCTAGGGATATTTATCTATAAAATGTCTCTAGAAATTTAGAGTTTTATGAATGTTTTAGAAATCTCTAGAGAATGAATAATGATCCTTAGATTAATGTTGTGGTGGCAAGATCCTAACCATTGGTTAAGGAGGTGTCACTAGTATAAATAGGAGTGATTGGATCATTTGTAATCAAGCCAAAAAAAAGTTTAGAAGCATTCACTACAACAAACATTTCCTTCTCTCAATCTTCCAATCTCTCCCAATTTTTAAACACTTCTTTCAAGCCTCTAAAATTTCCTCCCAACAAAGTGCTATCAAAGCCATAAGATCTTCATAGAAATGGCAAATACTGAGTTCCCTTTCAAGTATTGATGTCCACCAAGAGCAACTACGACAATTTAAGTTTAAGGATGATAGCTCTCCTTGGTGTACATGATGTGTGGGAGGTGGTCGAAAAGGGTCACATCGAGCCAGAGGATGTAGAGAGTCTGTCGAGCTCAAAAGGAGAGTTTGAGAAACTCAAGAGAGACAAGAAAGCTCTCTATCTAATCTATCAAGGATTAGACGAAGATTTCCAGAGTCAAGTCAGCCAAGGAAGCATGGGAGAAGCTTAAAATCTCTTACAAGGGAGCAGATCAAGTAAAAAAGGTGCGTCTTCAAGATGACGATGGAATTTGAAAGGGGCTTATGACATATTATCTCGGAATTGAAGTAAAGCAAGAAAATGAAGGAATTTTTATTACTCAAGAAAGTTATGCCAAAGACCTCCTCAAGAAGTTCAAGATGGATGATGCTAATCCAGTTGGTACTCCTATGGAATGCGGCATTAAGTTGAGTAAGGATGAAGAGGGAGAAAAAGTGGATTCAACTCTCTATAAAAGTCTTGTTGGAAGTTTGCGTTATTTAACCTGTACAAGACCAGACATTCTCTATGCCGTTGAAGTCGTCAGTCGCTAAATGGAAGCTCCAACAACTACTCACTTGAAGTTTGCGAAGAGGATTCTTCGATATATCAAAGGTACGACAAATTTTGGCCTATACTACTCCATTTCTCACTATTACAAGCTTGTTGGATATAGTGATAGCGATTGGAGTGGAGATATGGATGATCGAAAGAGTACAAGTGAATTTGTGTTCTACATGGGAGACACAGCCTTTACTTGGATGTCCAAGAAGCAGCTTATTGTCACTCTTTCTACATGTGAAGCAGAGTATGTAGCTGCTACTTCATGTGTTTGCCATGTTGTTTGGCTACGAAACCTATTGAAGGAGTTAAGTTTGCCACAAGTGAAGCCAACAAAGACTTTTGTAGACAACAGCATTAGCAAAAAACCCAGTCTTCCATGATCGAAGTAAGCACATCCACACTCGTTACCATTACATTAGAGAATGCATCAACAACAAGATATGCAAATGGAATACATGAAGACGCATGATCAGGTAGCAGATATCTTCACCAAACCGCTGAAGAAAGAAGTCTTTATGAAGTTGAGAAGTTTGCTTGGAATACAAAATCAAGTTTAAGACGGGATGTAGAAATGTAAATTGATTTTGTGTTTTGGGCCTAAAAGATAATAGCCCAATATTAGAAAAAGGGCCCAAATAACATTGTAGAAAATCCTATCTAGAAGGATTCTAGAATGATCTACAAAAATATCTAGGGATGTTTATCCATAAGATGTCTCTAGATAAGTTTAGAATTTTATGAATGTTTAAGAAATGTCTAGAGAATGAATAATGACCCTTAGATTAATGTTGTGGTGGCAAGATCCTAACCATTGGTTGAGGAGGTGCCACTAGTATAAATAGGAGTGATTGTATCATTTGTAGGCAAGCCAAAAAGAGATTAGAAGCATTAAATACAACAAGCCTTTCCTTTTCTCAAAATCTTTAGAGGAAATTTTAGAGGCTCAAAATCTTTAGAGGAAATTTTAGAGGCTTGAAGGAAGTGTTTAAAATTTGGAAGAGGTTGGAAGATTTTGAGAAAAGGAAAGGCTTGTTGTACTGAATGCTTCTAATCTTTTTTTGGTTTGCTTACAAATGATACAACCATCCCCTATTTATACTAGTGGCACCTCCTTAACCAATGGTTAAGATTTTGCCAACACAACATTAACCTAAGGGTCATTATTTCTTTCTCTATAGATTTCTAAAACATTCCTATAATTCTAAACTTATCTAGATACATCTTATGGATAAGCATCCCTAGATATTTTTATACATCATTCTGGAATCCTTCTAGATAGGATTTTTCTAGAATTCTATTTTGGGCCTTTTCTAATCTTGGACTTTATAGACCCAATATACAAAATCAATTTATATTCCAACACCCCCCTTAAACTTGATTTTGTAATACAAGCAAACTACTCAACTTCATAAAGACTTCTTTCTTCAGTGGTTTGGTGAAGATATTTGCTACCTGATCATGCGTCTTCACATATTCCATTTGCACATCCTTGTTGCTGATGCATTCTCTAATGTAATGGTAAGGAGTGTGAATGTGCTTACTTCGATCATGGAAGACTAGGTTTTTTGCTAATGCTATTGTCGATTTGTTGTCCATGAAAATCTTTGTTGGCTCCACTTGCGGCAAGCTTAACTCCTTCAATAGGTTTCGTAGCCAAACAGCATGGCAAACACATGAAGTTGCAGCTACATACTCTGCTTCACATGTGGACAGAGTGACAATAGACTGCTTCTTGGACATCCAAGTAAAGGTTGTGTCTCCCATGTAGAACACAAATTCACTTGTGCTCTTTCGGTCATCCATATCTCCACTCCAATTGCTATGACTATATCCAACAAGCTTGTAATCATTAGAAATGGAGTAGTATAGGCCAAAGCTTGTCGTACCTTTGATATATCGAAGAATCCTCTTCGCAGACTTGAAGTGAGTAGTTGTTGGAGCTTCCATGTACCAACTCCAACTCCAATGGCATAGAGAATGTCTAGTCTTGTACAAGTTAAATAGCGCAAACTTCCAACAAGACTTTTATAGAGGGTTAGATCCACTTTTTCTCCCTCTTCATCCTTTCTCAACTGATGCCACATTCCATAAGAGTACCAACTGGATTAGCATCATCCATCTTGAACTTTTTGAGGAGGTCTTTGGCATAGCTTTCTTGAGTAATAAAAATTTTTTCATTTCCTTGCTTTACTTCAATTCCGAGATAATATGCCATAAGCCCCATGTTGGTCATTTCAAATTCCATTGTCATATCCTTCTTGAATTCCTCAAACATGCTTGGATTGTTTCCTGTAAAAATCAAGTCATCTACATACAAGCATACAATCAAAATATCTTTACCTTGAGCTTTGATATAGAGTGCATGCTCATATGGACACTTGATGAAATTTGCTTCTTTGAAGTACTTGTCAATCTGAACATTCCAAGCTCTAAGAGCTTGTTTCAACCCATAAAGAGCCCATAAAGAGCCTTCTTTACTTTCAACACTTTATCTTCTTCACCTTTGACTTCATATCCTTGTGGTTGCTCAAAGTAGACTTCTTCTTCAAGAACTCCATTTAAGAAGGCGGATTTGACATCCATTTGATGTATCTTCCAATTATTTTGAGTTGCTAATGATATAATAAGTCTAACAGTTTCTAGTCGAGCAACTGGAGCAAATACCTCATCATAGTCGATGCCAGCCCTTTGACTGTAGCCTTTCGCCACCAATCTTGCTTTGTATCTTTGAACTTCTCCTTTGGAGTCCTTTGCTTTGTAGACCCACTTGACACCAATTTCTTTGTGCCCTTTTGGAAGTGAGACTAGCTCCCAAGTATCATTCTTCTTTATTGCCTCAATCTCTTCATCCATCGCATTTCTCCAACTCTTCTTTTCAATTGCTTCTTGGAAGTTCATGGGCTCATAGTCTGCATAGATAGAATAAGGTAACATTGTCTAGATTTTCAGTTACCTCATACATTTGTTGAAGACTTTGAAAACGTGGTGTTCTTTCACTTGAGCTTTCATCATCTTGAAGGGTTGTATTTGGTGAAGTAGGTGGGTTGAATTAGGATTGTAGAGTTTGTACCCTTTGGAGTTGGCGTGGTAACCAGTGAAGATGTCTTTTTCACTTTTGTCATCAAGCTTACTTCGTTTCTCATTTGGTACATGCACCTAAGCTATGCTTCCAAAGACTTTAAGATGAGAAATACCTAGTTTTCTTCCGCTCCACGCTTCTTATGGTGTTTTTCCACTAATTCTTCTTGTTGGAGAGCGGTTGGTTAGATAGACTGCACATGCAACGGCTTCAGCCAAAAACTTCTTTGGAAGTCTCTTGCTTTTAAGCATGCTCCTTGCCATCTCTAGGATTGTTCTATTCTTCCTTTCTGCCACTCCATTTTGTTGAGGGGATCTTGGCATTGTCAACTGTCATCTAATTTCATTATCTTCACAATACTTCTGAAACTCTTTTGATGTGAACTCTCCTCCACGATCAGATCTCAAATCTTTGATTAGAAGGACACTTTCCTTCTCAACATGGGCTTTAAACTTCTTGAAGTTCTCGAATACTTCTTATTTTTCTTTTAAAAAATATACCCATGTTTTTCTTGAAAAATCATCAATGAAGAGAAGGAAATAATTACTCTTATATTGGGCCACACACAGCTGCATGTATGAGTTCTAATGGCTTTTGAGCTCTTGAGTCTGACTCATTTGGAAAACTCAATCGAGATTGTTTTCCAAGTAGACATCCTTCACAAACTTTGTTGGGGTGAGTAATACAAGGCAGCCCTCTCACCATTGCCTTGTTGGAGAGCAACTCTAATCCTTTAAAATTAAGATGCCAAAGCCATGATTCGTCTTTGTAGCACATCTTGAGACATTGTGGGCCATCACTTTAAATGTTGAGCACGAACATTCTATTTCTTGCCATTGGCACCTTTGCAATGAATCTACTTGTATTATCTCTTATAGAAAGGTTATTATTCTTAAGTTGAATATCATAACCTTTCTCTAAGAGTTGTCCTAAGCTCAAGATGTTGCTCTTCATGCTTGGCACATAATATATGTTGGAAATAAATTGATGTTCTTCATTCTTTAGTCGGATGAGGACATTACCTTTTCCTTTCACCGCCGCCTTTGATTCATCTTCAAAAGCCACGTTTCCCTTTACTGATTCATCAAGCTCTACGAACATGCTTCTTTTCCCACACATATGGTTGATTGCTCCACTGTCAAGGTACCACTGATTATCCCCGCCTTTATCTTCGCCCTTGTAAGCCATTAGCAAGGTACCATCTTCTTGACACCTTTCTTCAGCATAATTGGCTTTCTCTTCGATTTTATTTTTGTTAGGGGCTCTATATTCAGAAGCATAATGTTCAAACTTATCACAATTGTAACACTTGATTCGTGACTTATCATACCTTGAATTCGGATTTCCTCTCCCACGACCTCTATTAGAGCTTTCTCCTCTTTGGTTATTGTTGTTAGGCCTTCGTCCTTGTCCACATCCATATGCACGCCCTCGTCCTTGTTCTTCACTATAACTTCGCCTTGATTGATTGTGTGTATTTTCTTCTTTTCTTGAATCCATGTGTGCCTTGAGGACTTGCTCCATAATCTCTTCCTTCTTCTTTTTATTTTCTTCATAAGCTTGCAACGAACCAAGAAGTTGTTGTGTTGACATGGCCTCCAAGTCTTTTGTTTCTTCGGTAATGGTGACAATATGTTCAAACTTTGGATCTAATGATCTAACTTCTCACCATTTCTTTTTAGGTTATTAGTAACCGTTAAAACTCTTGAAAAGTAATCGGAGACTAGTTCACCTTCCTTCATATGCAAAGCTTCAAACTCTCCTCTCAAAGTTTGAAGACGTACCTTTGTTACTTGATCTGCTCCTTTGTAAGAGATCTTAAGCTTCTCCCATCCTTCCTTGGCTGCCTTGACTCCAGAAATCTTCTCAAAAGTATCTTCGTCTAATCCTTGATAGATTAGACAAAGAGCTTTCTTGTCTCTCTTCCTTGAGTCTCTCAAGCTATCCTTTTGAGCTTGAGAAAGACTCTCTACATTCTCTGGCTTGGTGTGGCCCTTCTCGACCAACTCCCAGACATCATGTGCACCAAGGAGAGCAATCATCCTTAAGCTCCAATTGTCATACTTGCTCTTAGTGAGCATCGGAACTTGAAAGGGAACTCCGGTATTTGCCATTTCTATGAAGATCTTATGGCTCTTGATACCACTTGGATTTTCAATATCGTTGTGTTGTTTTCTTTCATCCTTGGGAGCACAAACTCTCTCTCTAGGTAAGGAGGCATGTTGTCTCTGCAATGGAGTGCTTAGTTCACCATTCCCATAATGCTCCTCAAGATGTGCAAATTGTCTCTTGAGCCGATCAACCCCACTTGGATACATGAAGCTAGTTTGATCTCCACCACGAAGATGTTTTGCTTTCCAGGAGATTAAGAAACTCCCTAAGAACACACAAAAACCAGTTGTAGAACGTCTACTGTCTAGGCATGATTGTTGACAACCTTTTAGTCGCGTTAAAGGCAAAAAAAAATCTAAGTTTTCTTCCAAGAAAATGGTGTTCGTTAAATTTTTAGATTGTAGGTTATCCCAGCTATAACAAGAATGCAAATGGGGGAATTAAACGAAAATAACGAAAAGAGAATGAACTACTAAAAATGATATAAAAGCATGAGATGTAATGGCCAAATCACTTAAGAATGATGGTTAGCTATCTAATATGATGCATAATTTGATTTTATTTTTTAAATTTGGTTGATGCTAATGCACTATGGAACTTATCTACTGATTTTTATGATGCAAGGTATCATTCAATGAGAGAAACTATCAAAGTTAATGTTAGGCCCTGAGAAAATGGTCTTCGAGGTCTTTCCATACTTCAAATAGCTCTCTCCCCTCTGCAGGTGTATCAAGAACTGCAAGCCCCCTTTTCTGTTTACTAGCCCACCTCTTCACAAAATTCATCCTTCTCTCCGGGGCATTGATTCTTCCATCCACCCTTCCCTCCAAAGCCTTCATTCTTCCTTCCATCACGCTTCTCTCCCAATGATCCAGCCCTCCTCGCCCATTCGGCTCCGACTGTCCTCTTCCGTTCAGGTCCGTCCATCCTATCCTGTTCGGTACTAGTAGTCCTTTCACATTCGGATCCGACCGTCCTCTCCCGTTCCGGTCCTGTAGTCTTCTTCCGTTCGGGTTTGGCAGTTCTCTCTCGTTTGGATCCGATAGTCCTCGCACGTTCGGATCCGGCAGTCCTCTCCCGTTCAATTCCGGCTGTCCTCTCATGTTCGGATCCGGCCGTCCTCTCATGTTTGGATCTTGGACGTATTCTTCCGCGGTCCCCGACTGCTTACTGTCCGCCAACCTTTCAAAGATTGTACCCCTATTTCGTTCTCCAAATCACACCACTACTTCTCCCTTCAGACCTTCCCAAGAACGATTCTTGGCTTTCTCCTTTCAGGCTCTAAACCAGTAGCCAGCGCTACCCTCCATACTGATGTCGGCTAGGCGCACCTTTTCCTCCTCTGCCCCACCTTGCAACTCGAAGAACTTCTCTGCCTTAGAGATCCACCCCAACGAATCAAACCCTTCGAAAGTGGGTAGTTCTACCCCTTCTACCCAATTAGGTCGGGCGTCTCCTCGGTCTTCATCTAGTTCCTCCTCCAAGCTCTCCCTTCTCCTTCTCTGATTCTCGTTAACAAACCCATGGCTTCCATCCGAACTTCCATCTAGTTGTCGGGCTCGCCCTCCTATCATCCTCCTCAATTCTTGTAAATCTTTGCGTATTACCGCCGTCTCCGCTTCCAATCCCCCCATGGACATCTCCATGTTCTCCAGTTTCCCTTCGACTGCATTCATTCTTCTCTCCATGACGTCTTTCACTCCTCTCAATCAGTATCCGGCAGGTCAGACCAATTGTTAGGTTTCTGAGTAGGAAACCTAATTAACCACAATCACAGTAGGCAAAAAAGATAATGAAAGAATGAATTTCTCTCATTAATGGTAATAGAATTCTCTAAACAAGGATAGTTGGGAGCATAACCTCCCTCACAGGACTTTAGCCGCCTGTTAACAAACTCAATAATCAAAAGCATAACCCTAACAATAGAGTCTAGCTCTATTTATATTTAATATTTCCCACCCATCTTATACTGAATATTTTCCTAGAATATAGCTCTATTTACTATAAATATCTTATACTGAATATTTCCCTATAATATAGTTCTATTTACTATAAATATTTCCCGCTCATCCTAATTGCTACAACAGTTAGGATAGTAACTCTTCAATCGATCAGCTCCAGTTCTTCACCTCTTTCCACCGTTCGGCTCGAGCCCTCACCGTTTTCAGCCGTTCGGCTCGATCTCTCCCCGCCTTCCACCGTTTGGTGCCCTTCTTCTTCTCCCTCACCTCTTCCACCATTCGGCTCGACCTCTCCCCGCCTTCCACCATTCGGTGCCCTTCTTCTCCTCTCATATACTTTCTTCTTCTCTCGTATACCTTCCAACCCCTAACATTATCTATTACCTTATATCCTATCAGTTAATGATTAAATTAAAATTTACAGCTATTAAAAGAAATGCATGATAGCCTATTCTAGGATTCAAAGCTGAATTGAAGATCAAGATCTAAAACTATAATGCCGATGTAATTGTCACGTATAATGTCCGAAATGACAGGAGAATGCATGCTTGATGCAGATGTGAATACTATGCTCAGTCTAGGAATGGTAAGGAAAGATGGATAATGCCCGGAATTATGCAATGTACAATCAGGACTAAAAAACATGCATAAACCCTAGATAAGTAGAACGTGTTGCACCTAACCCAGAATATGAATGTTGATGCTGTGTTTGCATGCAAACCAACTTCAGCAAGTCTGGATTGAGATAAAAACAGTTTAGCAACCAACTCTCAATTCAAATTTTGTCACAGGAGTTTAAATGCAAACTTAAGCTTTATTAACCTATAATATCATGAATGCAAATGAAGTGAGTTAACTAAGTCTAGAATGATGCAAATGCACGAAAGATGCTAGCTTAACATAGATGATATGCCTTATGTCATGAAACACATCTAGAACCTGTTTTTGACAGAATAAACATAAAACCACACTATGGGTAGACTTTGATTGCAGCGTTTTACACAATATACAGATTTCCTAGTATGCACATGTTATGAACAGGTTTAATACAATATGACATAATCTAAGGAATGAATAAAACCTAAAACCCCCAAGTGGGTATCAAGCCTCATGCATAAAACCTGAAAATTCAAGATGCTATGAAGTGCAAGAACATAAATTCATAAATGCAAATCAGAACCAAAACTAAAGGATGAACAGACTAGTAACATGAATGCACGAAAGTAGAAATTACCAAACAATGAAATTGAACAATGACACTTATTGATCTCACGTAACAACAAAAATACATTTCAAAACAGAATTTAAAGTAAACATATTAGGACTCTGTGACAGTGGAAAGCAAGAACAACAACTCATACCCTAAAATCCAGAATTCAACCTCCTGACTCATTTAGTTCATTGAATTGTGTCCTGGCTTAAGAAGACATCTTGGGAAAGAAAAGCCCACTTTGGGGCCAATACTAGCTCTAGGTTAGAGATCACTAGTTTGCAGTTTTCACAATTCAAAATGCCAAATGATTCAATATTCTTGAGTCTGAATTAAGGTATAGACAAAGAAATGTAATAAAACCTGTAGATAACTACTCATGCTTCAGGAATTCAAAAGAAATGTAAAGCATTACAATAAACTAAAAGAACTCAGAAATTAGAAACAGAAGATTAAAATTTCACGAAACATAGAGAATCAAAATTTTATTTCAAAAACGAGGAATGTACATTGAATTGAGTTCAAGGAAATGGATACAAAAAATTTTACTCAGAGCATCATCCTGGCCGCTTTGTGCTTCCAACCCCTTTTGTTCCGCACCTTGAACCAGCTTCAAGCTCTTGAGACCTTCACCATGGTTCACGTGCAGTGCCACTGTTCATGTTTGCTCAACATCATTGGCTCGACTTCGTGCTTCTTGGTGCAACCTAGGTCACACACCTTTGATTCCATTTAGGCGCGAGCTGCTTGCCCCTTTGTTCAGCTGCGCGTTTTGATTAAAGAAGCAAGGGTCAAAAGCTGATTTTGACCATGCCAGCTCTCTTGATCAGGGGCTTCTCTGCAGAATCTAAAACTGGGGAAAGGGTTAGAATTCAGAAATTGTAAAATAATAGACCTATCTAAGGAAAACTGACTTTATTCTATATTTTTATTTTTCTAAAATAAAAAAATTATTATATTTACATGAAAACACTATTAAGAAAATCTTTTTAATTGAAATTTCACAAAACTCAAATTTTTATGCTTATCAAATTATTCGTTATAAGAAAAAATAAAAGATGAAGAAAAGTTATACTCTAACTATATAAAGTAATTTTATATTATAATCCAATCATGTATAGTAAATTTGTTAATTTAATTATTTTAAAAATTATATTATTGATATGACTAGTTAGAGATGTTACTAAAACTCGTTTCTAGCTGGGCAAAGCCTTTTATTGATTTGTCTTTAGGATTCCTACTATTTGTACACCCTTTTTTCTTAATACATATAATTTTGATTTATTTATGTATTTGCCATGACATATTTACTTTTATCTTCTCTTTATTATGTCATGTTTTTATTTTAGAAAGGACTTTATAGAATTTTATGAAAATGAAACGTATACTAGAAATTACCTTTTGAAATACTAAGAAAAGAATTTTCTAAAAGTACATTGTAGAATGTAAAAAAAAGATGTTGAAGAGAGTACTTTTTTAAACACTCTCTTTACATTTTAAAATGTGCTCTCTAAAATATTATTTTCAG